TCACGCTTTTTCCCATGCTCGTCTCCCCCTTACCTCTTCCCTTCCTTCATACGTCACTCAACCTCTGAACTACGTTCTGCTTTCTGTCCTCCCTTCGCCCTACTTCTCCCTGCCACCTCCCTTTTCTCCCGGCCTCTACTGGACCTTCTCTTAAACCTCCCTCTGCCCTCCCTCGCCTGGCCACCTGACTCCCTTTCCTTCGCCCAGTCTCCGCCTCACCTCCTTCCCTCTTATCTCCTCAGTCCTACTCCCTCCGCCAGATTTGCACTGACCTCCTCCTTCCCCCAATCTCCTTCCTCTCYTTCCTTCCTTGGCCCGGTCTCCACCTGACCTCCTGCTTCCGCCCTACTCTCTGCCGCATTTCCCCTCCCTACCGGCCTTCTCCACACCTTCTCTTCAACGTCCCTCTGGCCTCCGTCCACCTGGCCGCCTCGTTCCCCTTCGCTCGCCCCCTTCGTTCGCCTGATCTCTGTCTGACCTCCTTCCCTCTATCTCCTCCCTCCCCTTCCTTCCTCAGCCCGATCACCACCTGACCTCCTACTTCCATTCCTCCCTCCGTCCTACTCCCTACCTACCCCTTCCTCCCTCAACAAAGCCCTTCCTTTGTAACGCCCGACGTAAGAAATACTTCTTTTCCTTTATCCGGTGGACGTAAACGCGTCATTTGTTATCAAGATAGCTTCATTTCTTTTAAGATCTCAACACTGTTGCACACGCGCAAGAAGGACAGAGGGAAAGCAGGAGAGAGGAAAACGCATTTCACCCAACACACTTCCTCGCACCTTCTTTGTCCTTGTCTGTCTCTTCCACCACCACCTCTTCTGCCTCCTCAAGATCTTCCTCCTTAACATTCTCCCTCGGTCTTTTCTTTTTGGAGCGGCCTCATGATTAACTGCACTGCGGCAGGTATTTCAGGCTATCGATATTTCTTTCCATATTTCACTCTCTCTCTCCCTCTCTCTCTCTCATCCACACCCCTCGTTGTGTGTGTCTGTGTGCCACCGCACGCGCGAGAGCGGCGCTAAGCCTTAACGCAAATTGAAAAAGCTAAGAAAAACGGAATCCACTCTATATCGTTCCCAGATAAGAGAGCACGAAGCGAGGGAGGACAGAAGGCCGAGGTAGGTAACGCCACCAGAGGGAGGAGGGAGAAGGCGAGGGAGGAAATAAGGAAGGAGAAAGGGAGGAAGGAGGGAGGGCCAATGGGGCAGGGGTGAGGGAGGGAGGAGCGAGGGTCGAGGCAGGAATGGAGAACGGGCCAAGGGAGGGAGGAGAGAGGGTCAAGGCAGGAATGGAGGACGGGCCGAGGGAGGAGGGATGGTGATGGCGCCTCTGGTGCCTCCCTCTCTCTCTCTCTCTCTCTCTCTCTCTCTCTCTCTCTCTCTCTCTCTCTCTGGAGGGAGGAGAGAGGACGGGCCGAGAGAGAAAGAGAGAGAGACAGAGAGAGAGAGAGAGAGCACGGATTCAGGATGAGCACGGATCCACGATGAGCACGAAAAGTATGGATCAACGATGAGCACCGAGCACCAAAGAAAAGCATGGATTCCCAATGAGCATGAATCCACGATGAGCACCTATCCACGATGAGCACCGAGCACCAAAAGCACGGATCCACGATGAGCACGTGATCATGCACCAAAGAAATGCGGATCCACGATGAGCACAAAAAGCACGTATCCACGATGAGCACCGAGCACCAAAAGCACGGATCGACAATGAGTGCACGATCATGCACCAAAGAAAAGCACGGATCCACGATCAGCACGTGATCATGCACCAAAGCATGGATCCACGATTAGCACGTGATCATGCACCAAAGCACGGATCCACAATCAGCACGTGATCATGCACCAACGCACAGATCCACGATGAGCACCGAGCACCATAGATGAGCAGCAAGTTCCCGTCGAGCACCAAAGGAGAGCACAGTCCGAGGGAGATGGAGAGAGAGAGAGAGAGGGAGAGAGAGAGAGAGAGAGAGAGCACGATGAGCACGTCGCATACCGTTGCGTGCCGTCACCTACCGTAGCATGCCGTCGCGTGCCGTAGCGTGCCGTAGCGTGCCGTCGCGGCCGAGACGATTGAGAAGCCCACCCCTTCGAAGGGCGATTTCAGGCCTGGGCACGGGCGTGCGTTTAGAAGGGCCGTTTCGGCGGGCGGAACCGGTATCGCACGGCCCAGATTTTGGGCCGGTCACCACCTGCAGACGGCCCAGATCGCAGACCGATGAGAAAAGTTTCTCATCGGCCTGCGATCTGGGCCATCCGCAGGTGGTGACCGGGCCGCAACCTGGGCCGGTAGATATGACGTTAGCAATTCTTATAGTATTGTAGATGTAGATTGTAGATGTAGATAGAAGTTATGACCTACAAATTTGACAAAACATTGATGTAGCACAGCAAGGCAATGTGCAAACTTTTCCCGGCTGGAGTAAACAACAGGGGAAAGCCACACACGATGATGTGTGTTCCCTCAGGCTGAAAGTGGTTCCCAACGGGCGACACACTTGTCCAAAACGCATTCCGTTAGGAGGCAATGCAATACAGGCAACACCACCCACACAGAAAGTGACTTCCAGAATGTCCCTGCCCTTTGACCAGTGGTGCACGCCCCTAACACACACAGGATTCTCTTTTTTTTCTTCTTTTCCCCATGACATCCAATGTATTAAGTTATTACTATTAACACACACAGGATCCTAAACACCAGACTTAAAAGTTAAAACAACCACAACGTTTCACAGGCAGTGTCCAGACTCAAAAATGTAACATTCCCGGTTCTTCAGATGCTCGGGGCTATTGGAGATAGCTGGCAGCACCAGGCAAAAGAAGTGCCGCGCTCACTGATCAGTGAAGCTTGGCGCACAGTGGGAATCCAACTCGGCAAAAAGAGGCTGGGAGGTTGTGGTGGTTTAAAACAGGCAAGCAATCAACATGGGATTTGGATTTAAAGAAAAAAAAAAGATGAAACATAGCGGATTTTGGAAAGAAAAAAACAAGCACCACATGGGAAAAAACAGAACGAAGAACTCTAAAACACTGAACAAACCCAGGGTTATAATGACAACTGGAGAAACCTTCAGCGTGACCATTCTCATATCTGGGAAAACCACTGAGAGCAGCTTCTTCTCCATCTTCTGGTGCACACTGCAATTCATGGTGAAACACAACAGGGGCAATTAATCCAGCAGAACAACATAGAAAAAGCACACCAAAACAGGAGATCGGACAATATAACAACAGCCTCAACAAGGGAAAAAAAGGAAGCCATAGGAATGGAAGGAAAAAAAACAATGAATGCGGTAGGAGGAAACCTCACCAACAGACTCATTTCACTCACACCTACTCCTTCAGGCCAGTAATCTCAACCCTCATGATACCCACTACTGTATGGATTCAACTTCCCTATCCTGTGTAGAACCTCTCTGCTAGAGCATCTCGCAGCAGTGCTAACACAGCGAGAGATAAATTTGACGTTCTCTAACGACCACTTCTCACCACCCATTCCCATCCTCCATCTCCGCATTCACCCCCACCACCAATCAAGACCATGGCATATGCCAGGCTCTACAAAAACAACATAAATCTGCCCATGGAAAACTAAACTTTGAAAGCAGAACACATGAACAGACTCTCTCTCTCTCTCTCTCTCTCTCTCTCTCTCTCTCTCTCTGTGTGTGTGTGTGTGTGTGTGTGTGTGTGTGTGTGTGTGTGTGTGTGTGTG